GGGAGGGAGGGAGGGAAAGAGAGAGAGGGAGGGAAAGAGGGAGAGGGGAGAGAGAGAGAAGAGAAGAGAAGACTGGAGTAGGGAGAGGGAAAGGAAGAGGAGAGGAGAGGAAAGGAGGGAAGGGAAGGGAAGACAGAAGAGAATATATCTTGATATATGGCAAGGAAAGTCTAAAAAATTTCATCTTTCTAGAACCCAATGATTGCAGAGTTAATTTTATTTGTGATATGTGTTTGTCCCTTGACATCTTTTTGGGATTATTATTTTTTTTTGGGGGGGGGGGGAGTTTGCTTCTAGGAATTGCACGCATTTCAATGATATATTGTAAGCCGCCCCGAGTTATCCTGCGGTTAGATGGGCGGCCAACATATTCGATAAATAAATAAATAAATAAAACACCAACCAGTGTTCGTTTTTAAATTAAGAAGTTCTTATCAATCTAAATGACACACATAGATACATACATTTACATATATAGCTGAAGGCAGCATTTGTCAGTCAACTGATTTCAAAACAGCCGGTTGTGTTGTGTTGTGTTTTGTATGCTGGGATACAGGAGGGTGTAGATAACAAGTATTAATTTTCTATGATATTCTTGTATTCCTGGAGGGCCAGACCTAGTCTATCTTGTACCCTCTGCCTGTGTCCAAATAGGGATCTTTAGATTTGGCTGAATCTAGCTTGCCTGCCCTCTCCTGAACACAAAAATACCCCTTGCTCCCTTCTCCCTAGTCACACTTGGTCATTGGATGGATCTTCTATTTTATTTTTTTGTCTCAGAGGACCCATAACATCAGATTGGCATCTGCTTTCGGGTATAGTGGACTGTATCAATAAGGAGAATTTTTATCTGTTCAAACACTTCCGGCAATTAAACTAAGAAGGTGTTTGATATTCTAATTTCAGTTCCTTTATCTATTAAAAACAAAATCTGCTATAAGATACAAGCTGAACCCCCGTCCAAATTATTTAATACTGTTTTTTCTCATTGTGAACTAATGGAAGGGAGAAAGGAGGAGGAGGAAGAGGAAGAGGAGGAGGAGGAGAAAGAGGAAGAGGAGAA